GCATTTTATTTGTAAATTAGTTATATTTAAGGTGCATTAAAGTATTAAAGTACAGGAAGAATTGTGTTTAGTTTTATGTGTAGAGAAAATTACGGTATACAAAATATCTAAGACCTGATGTTCTTGTGAATATTTTTTATTTTCACTGTAAAGAGTTATTTTTATATTTAGCTCGTTTTAGCAATAAATATGCCAAATAATAACTTTTTCTCATTTTGACGGTTGATCGTTTTGTCGGTTTCCAAACCTCGCTAATATTTTACCGTACATGGACTGAAACTGTTGTTTGACTTACAGACGCTAAATGATGGAACAAAACAAATTCTCACTTTTCCTGACAGCCAATCACAGAGATGAGTTGAGCTCCTTAACTACCAAACACACACAAACACAATCACGCACACATAGTTACACACATGGTCTTAATATTTACCAGCTGGCTAGTCAAACTGGCAACAGCCAACTTGAATTCTGCAGACACAAACTGATGTTTGTAAATCACCACTTTAGATAAAAGCGGCACTAAGTGTCTGAAGCCAAAGGGAAACCAAAGGGATAAAGGGAAAGCGAGAGGGCAACTGTCAGACTCGCTGCCCTAAAATTATGTCTGTACTGTAAAAACACTCACTGAGAACATAAAGCAAAACATAAACTTGTAAAGAAGGAAACAGAGAGAAGCTGTGAGCAAGGGCAGAGAAACGACAGCAATAATGGTTGTAATAGCAGAAAGTAACTCAACAGTGTGCAAATTTCCCCACAGTGGGATCAATTAAGTTTTATCTTATCTTATCTTATCTTATCTCTCAACTACTTTTCCTTTCAGTGCTAAGGCAGGGTTAGATCCCAGGAAGTTTGCAGTCACTATATCCATTTAGAAGCAGGTATGAAACTGAAATAGAAAGACAAGCGTCATGCAAACACACTGCTCTATCAATCACAGATCTATTTTGCTTCCATAAGGAACATTTTGGATCAATAAATCTATAAACATAGCATCAAAAAGAAAAGAAAACTCCAAGGGAAGGACTTTTTTTCTCTTTGTTTAATGACTCCTTTGTAAATTTTAAAGTATTTTAATTTAGCCACAACACAGCTAAGAAAGTCAAATATTAAAGTTAGTATTGTAATACATTAACTTGTATAGGGCATCTATTTTTGTGTCATATTGCAGACAAAATAATACAAGTGTAAATAAAGTGCTCATTGAGTGTGAAGTACATGAATCGTTGGGTTACTGGTTGCTTTGTCGTCACATTGTGATCATGGGAACAACTCACATTGACACGTAGACAGTAATGAAAGCAGTATTGTGACAGTGAAATGTTAATGCAAATTAAACTTTTATTATTAGTAACAGTTGACTCACTGCCACAAAAACAGCTTTGAGTCATGGACACTGGAAGACAACACCTGCTGATTTCTACAAAACTTGTTTGTTTAAGAGTTTGTTGTTTGTTTTACCGTCAGATGTTAATTATCTCCCATCACCATAAGGCAAAGACATATAATCATGTTTTAGCCCATGTACGTGTGTGTTTGAGGAATTGTTTTTACCAAAATATGTCACGAACCACTGGACACGTCGTACAACTTTCAGAAATAATCAGTGAATGTGTCTCCACAATTGATAACCTTTTGAGCCATCATATTCAAAGATGGCCACCACAGTCAACTAACCTTAGTAAACACATAAATGACTTTAATTTGACTTGCTATAGTGTTCTAAATTTTAGTATGGTAGCAGATGAGAGTAATTAACAACACATATCACAGTTGCTCATATTGTGCAAGCTAATTACTCAAAACTTAAAAAAATATCTATTGGAGTCAAGCATGTTTGTCTGAGCAAATATTATTGAAAAAATATCGTGAAAATCCACTCTTTTAGCTGTTAAATGCATTTTATTGTGTACTTGGAGTCTCTAAGAGTGCCAAAAAAATAATTTAGTCTCTTCTGGTGCAGCATAGAGATCTTTATATTCTGTTATATTTTTAACCCGTTGATTTTTCTGTAATTTCTATGACATCTTCTGAATTGTTACACCACAGAATTTGTGACAGAACTTCTAAATATGGTCTGGACTTCCCAACTACAATTTGATTGGCTTCATTCTCCTCAGGCTCTGGGTCAGACTCTGGCTCCAACATATAAGGCTGGATGGACAAGTCTTACCTTGTTGACATCTTTTAATTAATTTTTAGACCAAATGTTTCTGTGGTGGTATATAATTGAAAACCCTTCAATCAAGGTGCAATGGATTGCTCTGGAAGCTGGAGGGGAGTGTGTGAAGCTCCTCGTTTGCGTTTAAAGGCACAGCCTCAAAATGAGATGCTTTGAGACACAGAAAAGGGGTGAAAGAGGGACTTGCAAATTACTATAAGAAGGAATTCAGACCAAAGCAGTGCAGTTCCACTTTATATAGACCCCAACTGAATGATTTAAATGTGAAGAAGGATTTAAAAGCAAGATATTTCTCCTTTAAGATGGCCACCACAGCTAAGTGATATTATCAACACATAAATGATTGTAACTCAAGTCAGTTTTACAGAAATAGAGCTAAAATTTGATGTGGTAGTAGCTGAGTCTCATTCTTAAGACATTCTGAGCATGACGCCAGATGATGCTGCTACATTCCTCATAACATTATTTTCAAGGTTTGACCTGAGCTGCTACAACTCCTTACTTTTTCAACATCTGATGATTTTAGTCTAAAACTGTGGGAGGCGTGGCAGTGGGCAACACAGTATATTGTATATTGCATCAGAGAATACCTGGTCTTTATTTATTTATTATTATTTATTATTATTTAATTTTATTTGAGAAAATTATATATTAAAAGCATTTAATCAGTATCAAAATACATACAGGACCTCTTATAAAAATTGTGCTATTCTTCGTTTCTTTAACGAGTCTCCTCTTTTGTTTAAGGCGTATAAGCAGTGTGAGCTTTGGTAAGCAGGGGTGAGCATCTGTGAGGCATTTGTGGCAAGGAAGAAAGAGAAACAGAGAGAAGCAAGTATGAGTTTCCAAGCACCATCCCATGGTTTACAGGAATGCTGGTGAGCGCCTGGTGTGTGAGGTAATGTCCTCTCACCCAGACCCACACGTACCTACTGAAGCTCACTGTCTCACTGCTTCAAATGATAGATGACTTCAATAGCTTGTCAAGGAACTATAAAGGTTCATGAGTAGGTGCAGAGCATACAAACGACGTCCACAGGTAAGGATTTAATGCCAGCTTAAAGCCAAACTGACGTAAAAATTTGCAATTTAATAAAATACCCAAATTAGTTGCATAACACCAATATATGAGGCAATGAAGAAACGCACAAGTTTCAATTAGATTTCAACTTTGCAGGTCCACTAATAATAACTGAAAAGTATTATTAGTATTAGTAGTATTAATAATAAGCAGGGCTTTGAAACAGATAGTACATCAACAGCATGTCTTGGCTTTTGCCATCCATATTAGGGAAAGGAGATTAAACAGGATTGAGGCTAATGCACTTCTATGTTTCTGGAGCTTCATGTTTGTGTCTATAAATGTACATGTATTTCGAATACAGATGTTGTGAAGTAAAAATAAATCTGCTCACATTGTGCAGAACATTGTCTTCATTTAGAGTCAAATCAAACCCTTTCTGTTTATCATTATTATTATTATTATTATTATTATTATTATTATTATTATTATTATTATTATTATTTTCTTTAGTTGAAAAATGGTTAGACTGTTAGAATGTTAGTCTAAGATTATAGTTAGGCTAAACAGATGGTTAAGATTTTTTTTTAAATTGTGTGGAGTATTTATGACAAAACAGTTTTTACCTGCACCAGATAATAGATTAACATCAATTGGAAAATTCATTAAGTCAAGACCTGCACTGGGTGTCCATTTAATTTGGTCATGCTGTTACATAGTGAGCACCCTACATGTGTACACTTACCTGAAATGATGAATTTTATTTGCCATATTTTTGCTATATTTTCTGAACAACTATGAAAAATAGCAACCACAAAATTTTTACACAATAAGCCAAACAATCTAACAAAGAATAACAAAACAGCAAGTATTGGTGACAGCGTAAAATGTGCAGCTTGACGTCTTTCAGCAAAATCGTCAGGCAATAAGAACATTACTTTTTTTTAGTTGTTGGCCTCTACCATTTCACAAATATCAGAGTTAAAAGTGAGTGTTGTAAATTCTAAACACTAGAGGTGGCAATATTTCAAGACGTTCATAAAAAAATACTCAACTTTTACCAAATAACAATGTCGCCTGGTTTTTGTGCCTGTGGTCTTTCTTGCTGACTGCTGTCATAGTTCAAATTGAATTTTAGCTTGAAAATGAAAAAAAATGGACTTGAGGGGCTGCATTTTCCAGTCAAGAATGAAAAATGATGTTACTCTGTAGGTCAGTTTGTTTTGTCGAATTTTCATCACGAGCAGCTTTCCACAAAGCCACAAAGAAAGGGGAGAGAAACTTTGAAAGACAGGAGCAAAAGAGTTTCATTTCAGACAAAGGATTAACAGAGGGCTGCTGAGAGACAACATAAGATAAACAATATTCTGAAGGATTTTTTTTTCTTCAACTGAGAATCACATAAAGCTGTTTTAAAAGATTCTCAGAAATGAAAATCTTTCCAGGAAACAAATGTGGTCAATGTATAGATGTGGAGTGATGAAAACATGAATATAGTCTTCTTGTGTGTGTGTGTATGTTTGGGTAAATGAAGACAAATGTTATCATGAATACCAAAATTCTGCACCCGTTGTGGGAATCAGTGTGACACAGACCACCAATGAAAGCAGAATAGTCCAGCAAAAATTGGGGATTTTTTTTCACATCAGTGGGGAAAAAGATGTTGTTTTTTTGTAAAGCACTTTATTTGTTCAAAAAGTGACTGGCAAAAAGTTGACAATGCCACTGATAAACTCTGGAAATTAAAGCTCTGATGTGCTTTCAGTTGTATCAACAGTATCGATTTAAAGGACTGACCTTTGTGACAGCAGGATACCCAGCAGCCACTTCACCAGAGCAGTACGGCTTCTCTTCATGGGAAACTTCAATAGACGAAGCCCACTGGTCCAAGTACCCACTGGGTGTGTAGAGGCCGCAGTCTCTTACACCCGTTTCCCGCTCAAAGTCTTCGCACACCCCATCGCCATCATAGTAGTAGCAAATGCTCGGCTCCTCTGCAGGTAAAAAAACAAAAACAGAAAATACTTTTTTTAATGTGATCATTTGTTAAATGCATCACCATCTTTTAATTTGACTTTCAGATGTGATTTGATATACTCCACATGTCTCTCATTCACTCATCTGTTTATGAATTTATCCAACTTTTCTGATCTTGTTTTTATTACATGACAGCACAAGTGGACCATCAAAAGACAGGGGAGGATGCTAAATATGTATCATGTAAGGAAATAAACATAAAGAAGGAAAAAGCATGATTAAACATTAACAAGACTGAATCAAAATACCAAGAGGCATAGAGGGAAAGGAAGGGGGCAGACAAAGTCAAGGGGTAAAAGAGAGATACAGAAGCTTTTTTTTTTCCAGACATCCCACCCGGAGTTAAGGTCTGGAACTGAAAACTTATGTACTGGAGGAGACGGGAGCTGAGCAGGAAGGTTGCCTGGGCCCCATTGGTCTCAGCTAAAGCAGCGTCAGCCGATGGGGTTCCAGTTAGGGGGAAAGGCGGCGCTCTGTGCCAAGTTGGCTGGGGCCTCCTCCTTGAAATTCCAGCCATCCCCAACACGGCCAAAAGCTCAAGTCAGTTCTGTGCTCTGGCAACGGTGAAATGAGGGGCTACCAAGGGGGTGGGGTGGGGCAAACAGAATAGCCTCCTGCCACTCACTAAGCAGGAACAGAGGCAAACAAGTCAGTAGAGAAGTGAGAGGGAGACAAGAGGAAGTTCAAACAGTGTTTAGTGAAAGGTGCAAGAACAGAGAGCAGAGTGTGAGCTAAAGAGAGAGGAGGAGTGAGAGGATTAAAGGTGTAATGATGTGGTATCTGAATTTGAGCACAGATAGAATGAACCGATAACGGATGAGTGGGAATGTAACTGAGTGCATCAGGAAAAAAAAGATAGGCAGAAATTTGGCGGGAAAACGAAGTTATGAGCTGAAAAAGATAAAAGAAACCTACCTCCTGTGAGGATGGTTTTGTTTAAACTTTTATCAAGATCTGACAAAATGTTTATGTGAGGAAAAGACTAAACTCGAACATTTCTAACACATATAATTGATGAGTTTTGTAAGTACAGTAGTCTAGTCTTTATTTACATCTGTGTTTTAGATGGGAATGGTCCATCTGTGAAACAGTCACTGAAACTGTAACTTCTGAATTTCATCAGCTTCAGATATAAATCAGCGCAACGGAGAATAGGCTGTTGAAGCTTATCCCATGGTAGCCCCTTGGAGCTGTTTACTTAGTGTCAGTTCTCTGTCCAGTGTTTTTTTTCACCGCGCAGCACCTTAACAAGCAGGCACTCTCTTTCACACGCATACATACACATCAACTTGACTTTCTGTCATTAAAGTGTCTGTTTTTTTGCTCCAAACTTCAACTGTGTCAGACACTGTTGCATCCAAGTGCGTTGGAAAACTTACACTATGAGACCTGCATCCCAACCTAATTATTAAGCAAGCGTTGGTTATAAATCACAGTGAAATGAACATATATATATATATCTTCGCACATATAAAAAAAAAACCTGACACATAAAAAGGGGGAAAAAATGGACTCGGTTGAAAAAACAAAAGAGGATTTCCCTTCCAGGTTTTCTCATTCCTTCATTGTTTCTGATAGACAAAAAAAATGTTTTCTTTGATGGAAGTAGACCAGATCATTTTTGGAAGTCAAAGATTAAATACAGGGTGTCGCTCACAGATCCACTGCAGATAAACTGACTCTCCAAGTAATTTGTAATAATCTCCCTTACAGCAGACATAGAACAGCAATGTGCTTACATGATATATTAACTCTGACAGCAGATTTGTCCTCGTGACTTACCGACACAGTTGAAGAAGGATTCTTTCTTGCACTGACTTGAACAGCCATCTCCATTCATGAAGTTCATGTCATCGCATTCCTCACCTCTGGAACTAAAGCAGACAGGAAACAGTAGAACATAAACACTTCCATGCGCAAAGAAACTCTAATACCAAATAAACACACAAAAAAGAAATGTTTTAATCCACATATTTTGTTGTGTTTGTAAACATGATTTGCACATCCGTTACCTTTGGATGTGCCCGTCGCCACAGTAGGGCGCCCCGAGTTCATGCACCAGCGGTGGCGAGGGCTCACTCTCACTCCGACTGGAGATAGTTTGGACCTGGTAGGTGTACACAACGTGCGGTACAACATCCCTACACAGAAAGTGACAAAAAATTATGGTAAGATATTTTTTCTGCAAAATTTTCTGAGTTAAGAAAATAAACTCTACAATGAGAAAAAAATATGAAAATAAGGTCTGAGGAGATCAAATTAATGGTATTGTCGTTTGCTGTAAACCTCTTGATGGTTCATTAAAAAAATATTTAACCTACGAATTCAGTAATCCACCAATTCATTTTTGCCTTTAAATTTCACTTTTAAATATTTGGGTCGAATTCAAGTTGACTTTTATCGGCACGTTTTATTTTAATAGTCAAATTACTCATTATGGGGTCTCTTCAAATTCCCCAAGTTGTCTGTTTTCATGTAATAATCAGCAGGAATCCGAGGCAGTTACAGGGTTCTTGACAGAAATTTAAATGTTCAAAACAAATTGTGAAAGCAAGCAAGCAAAACAAGAAAGTTTAATACAAATAAAAAGTCATGTAATGTCTTGATAACTCTTTTTGCAGTAATATTGCTAAGATTTTTTTGATTCTTTGTTTGCAGTTTTGTGTTTTTCCTTAAGGTTTGGATTCATTACTCGTGTTTAAGTTCCTTTTGTTGTTTTCAAAGGTTTGTTTAGTATTTATGTTCTCATGGGATCAAAATATGAATGAATCTGACAACCTTTTTAGGTATAAAATATATTTATTTTATTTTAATAACTTAATATATGCTTAAAGATTTGACTGGAGTTTAGAGTAATTTTAAAGCAAGAATAAATTGCAAAAAATTCATGCAAATTAATGTCATTTGGGGGAAATAACAGAATACACTACAATAAATGTTGCACGCAGAACTTAACAAAAGCCCATTGGTTTCAACTACTATTCCCAATCCTCCCATACAATCTCCTGTGTGAATGTTATACACCACCAGGAGCCAACACTCCTGCCAACTTGCTCGAGCTCCACAACACCCTCATGCCAAAGTCAGCAGTTAAACAAGGAAGTTTTCTGAGTGATGGTCATGAAAGCCATAAACTTTGATGAGCTCTCAGTTGGAATTTTCGATTTCTAATGACTAAGAACACCAGTATTCTCTCAAACACAAACTAGGAAAATATCCTGCACAACAGTGAAGACATATGTTGCTCACATGAACAGCGAAGTGTTTGTGTTTGCTAATGTGAATGGCTATTCTGCTTCTTTAGACTCATGTGAAAATACTTAACAGAACAAATAACCTCTTCTGCCATGCTAGCTCAGCAACTTCAAGCTAACCTCAAACACACCACCCTCTAATTTCATTATTTTAGACCCACAAAAAGTCAAGCTGTTGGATATTTAATCTTTGGACACAGCAAATACTCAGACTACAAAAACAAAAAGAGAAAAAAAATAGTGATTATCGTTGTATATTGCTAATGTTAAGTCCAGGATATCTGACTATAGAAGAAACATTTATGTCTGTGAGCACTGTCTGATTGGGATACAAAGTTTTGGGTCAGCTCGACTAAAATGTACATGGGAATGTCATCAGACTACAGCCCTTCAAGTCTTTTAGTGAATCATTTCAGAGGTATGCATGATAGCTCTTGTTTTTCTGCTGGTTGTCGGATTTGTCTGGTGTGTGTTTTTAGAAGAGTGGATTGGTTCAGTTTAGTATACAGTTAGCTGCAGAGTCATAATTTCTGACCAGATTGATGAGCCATTGGCTAGGTCGAGTGAGGCCAAGGCAAAAGGGGGCAGCTGTATTCTTTAACTTTATTCTCAAATTTTCAGAATAATTGATGAAAACGTTGTTATATGAAGCTCTGAAGTGCTGTCATCATCAGGATTATTCCGACAGAAGTGTTATTAAATTCCGGCTGGAAGTTATTGTTTCTTCACAGGACACCTTGCTGCTACGGCCACCATTTGTCCAGATGCATCTCAATAGTCCAGGACGGGTTCTTCTTTGTTAAATAAACATTTCGTCTCTTCTCCAAGAGACTTCTTCAGACTGAGGAGTTCCAGGTAAACTCAGCCTCATAAGCAATACTTCCACATGGTGGACAAACAGGTTGACGATGACAATCATAACTATTTGTTTAAATGCAAAAAAGGACAATCAACCTAACGATCATTAGGGTCCTGATTACAACCTATAGTTCACGAGCTGAGTCATAATCGCAATAACAGCATTGTAAGAGGGGAACAATTGTACATGAAGACCTCCACCCATGTTTAACAATGGGTGGTTTTTCTTCACAAAAATGGCTCCCTGAAAGAGGGACCTCTGGAAGCGGCAGCAAAAGAAAATTGCTTGAGCGTGTATTCACAATCAAGCTTAGCTTCATTTTGCAAATCATTTTGCAGATCTTGCCATCGATAATGTTAATTACGTGGTAATTTTGCATAAGGTCGTCAACGTCTTACACCTATTCTCCAGTCGTTGCATTTAAAAAGCTGCATGAGCCTCTTAATCCATAGATCGAGGCATCGCTGCCATGTGCATCATAACGTTTGGATGTAGTGTTTCTAAATTGTGCACGTGATTCAACATGTGTTTTAAACTTGAGTGGAATAATGCGCCTTTGGTGAGAAGGTCAAAGTGCTGTTCCTCATGGTGAGATAACAACTGTTCAACATGGCGTTCAACCTGTTACCAATTAGATTTGTCCTCGATTCCCCTCTGACCCGACTACAACTGGTCATGTTAGGTGCTGCCACCAGCAGCAGGAAAGAAGTAAAAAAGGAAGTGGTGTGGATGTAACACAGGACGATGTATTTGACTTCTTACAGTGCCTGGAATAAATAATGCTTACATGTTTATTTCCACCATCAAAATAAAGTAAAAACCAAACTAATTTTAAAGGTATGATTGAATTTCTTATGTTGTTCTGTTAATGCAGATTTTCTTGTCAAAGCCCCAATGCTTTATCCTGGCTCACTTCTAAATTTGACCCGAAATACTTTAATGTGCTTTTCTTTTTTATCTTTGTTCTAAAAATAATAAACACACCATTACACATTAAAGCATTTACAAACAAATGCGCCTGCTACCAACAGCGAGAAGAACACGTGTGCACTTTTGCGCTGTTTGTTTCACATCTACAGATGTGTGCACTAGGCTTGTGAGCACGCATGTAAATGTGTTTCCATTTTTCAGCTCCTTGATGTTTTTGGCACAAAGACGTCAGATGGGAAAAAGAGATAAATGTGAGGAAAATCTTTCTTTGAGCCTGAAAGATCCACAAATGTAGCTAAAATCCCTTTAATGGTTTGGCATGCCGTTGTGAATTTGAGGTAAATTTTTCACCTACTGCATGTCTGCAAAGTAATGTTGCATGTTTTTGTAACCAGTGTCATTTAAAATGCATTTAAAATTCCATAAAGAAACTGAAAATGTTACCTGAAACACAGTTTGGTTGTTTACTCTCAGCTTCACAAGAACACAACATTTATTAGTGACTTAGTTTGTTCATTATAAAAAGTGCTAAAGGCCCACGTGGCATGGTCTTTTTGTTGCATTTTCTTCCTTTTTTTTTCTTTCTTTCTTTTTTGTTCCAGAACTGGCTGTTTATCCTCACTGTGAAGCTTCAAGCATGATAACTTGCCTCTGTGTTATTGCTTTAATTTACTTCTTTTCTCAACTGCCTTTAAAAAAAGAGAAGTCAGGCTGACCCCTGCTAGCAATTGCACTGAATGAATTGGATATAATTTTTATTTTCCAGGCTAAAAGCTTTAAATACACTGCTTGTCCAAATCCATGTCAATAAAACAAACTTTTATGTTTGGATTTTAATGATCAGTAAATAACCAGGATGCCTGATGATTGAGTTAAAGTTTGTTAATGATTGTTTTTGGAGTTGATTGTAGACATTGTGGTCATCTCATTGTAAAACATTCTTTATCAACTGTCTCACAATAGTTGGATTTTTTCTAATGGTACACACAGTATGGAGTTTTATCAAAATAAAAACTTGCTCTTTTGTCAGATCATTTATTGTGAATCCTGGTTCACAAACAGTTTCAGGAGGAATTCTAAGACAGTCCGTCCCACACTCTCTCCATGAGAAAAGAATGAGGGGCCAGTTTCACACTATTGTTCAGCCTTGTCACAAACAATTGGTGCAACAGTGAATCTAGGTTTTCTAAAAATTGTGTGGAATAATTTGGCAGAGTTTGTGTAAAAATGACTTATTTAGAGTTTTTAAAAGGAAGGGTGGACCATGTGATATGAAGGATTTGAGCACAGGACAGAGTCTAGAGACCCAGTCTGTGTGGTAGTTCTTATGCTCCAAGAGTTATCCTGTCTTTCTTTCTTTTATTTTTTTATTTTTGCCTGGGAGGTCTTTCTTAATACTTCCTTGACCCCCTTATGTCTCCTCACCCATTACCATTCACCCCCATCCCCTTTTCCAAGCCAAGTAATATTTTACCACCAACTGATAGAACCTCCCACCCTGCATCTCCTCTTTACCCTTCACACTCTCCACCATAATTTACTCTGTCACCCTGACCTCCCAGCCGTTAGCCATTCCAAACAAACCACCACTCACTGATGGAGCCAGAAGAGCCAAGATGTCAGCCATCCTTCTTATTGTTTGCCCCGGCTTAGATGAAGGCCAGTGAGCTGACAGCAAGAGGTCAATCACCCCCCAACCCTCAGCCACTTCATCTAACCTCATGGTGGCATTTAGGAAGAAGTAACTTTCTGTGTGGCCAAAAACTTTTCAACAGATAGACCCAAATTA